TGATCGGTCTGGCATCTGTTAAGACCAAATTCTAATGCTGCCTCAGAGAATTTTCCAAACCAAACCCGTGGAGATTGTTTCAATCCATACAGGACCTTTTTAAGGCGATAAACAATGTGACGATACTCCCCCTGAGCAACAAACCCAGGTAGTTGCTCCATATAAACTTCTTCAACTAAGTCACCATGCAAGAAGGCATTCTTCACATCCAATTGAAACAACGGCCAGTGACAATTGGCAGCAATGGAAATAAGTACCCGAATAGAAGAAATCTTAGCAACAGGAGAAAATGTCTCATCGTAGTCAATACCATAAGTCTGAGTGTACCCTTTTGCCACCAGACGAGCCTTCAACCGCTCAATAGACCCATCGTGAAGGTATTTAACAGTACAGACCCACTTACAACCAACCGTTTTGGAGCCCAGAGGTAAGGGAACAAGATCCCAAATCCGATAACGGTGTAGGGCATCCATTTCATCGACCATGGCTTTGCGCCAATCCGAATTAAAAAGAGCATCCTGCAAAGTCTTGGGAACAAAAGTAGCAGACATTTTGGATAAAAAAATAAGATAAAGAGGATGAAACATTATGGTAGGAGACAAAGTTAGAAATGGGATGTGCAGTAACACACGACTGAGTACCCTTACGGAGAGCAATAGGTAAATCATCAGGCAAAGTAGATGGCGTGGGATCCGAAGACTCTGAAGGAGATGGAGGGAGCGAAGTAAGCAGTCGAGGTCGTCGAGTATGAACCTGCAAGGGGACAACAGAGCGAGGAGGTGTGAGAGCAGGAACCAGAGAGGAAACAGTTGGCATAGGTGGCTCAAGAGTAATATCGAGAGGGGTAGTAGAATCATAAAAAATAAATAATAAATAAATAAATAAAAACAACAACAACATGGGAAAGACTCAGAAAAGGAGACATCAGCACTAGTGAAATAGCGCTGAAAATGAGGACTGTAGCAACGATAACCCTTCTGAGTGCGAGAATACCCAAGAAAAACACACTTAGTGGCACGGGGGTCGAGTTTGTCAAGACCGGGCCCAAGGATATAGACATAACACACACATCCAAAGGCCCGAGGAGTAAGATTAAACGATGCGGAGTTGGGAAATAGAACATAATGAGGAGACTTCACTTGTAACACCGACGAAGGCATCCGATTAATAAGATGACAGGCCGTAAGAACAGCATCACACCAAAAATGTTTGGGAACATGCATATGGAATAAAAGGGCACGACATACTTCGAGGAGATAACGATTTTTACGTTCAGCTACTCCATTTTGTTGAGGAGATTAAGTACAAGATGATTGATGAATGATGCCTTTAGCATGAAAATAAGTCTCAAAATGGTCCAAGAAATATTCTGTGGCATTGTCAGAGCGTGAAACTTTAATGGAACATCCAAATTGAGTTTTTATTTCTTTGCGAAATATTTGAAAAATAGAGAATAACTCAGAACAATTTTTCATTAAAAACAACCAAGTCATACAAGAATGATCATCCACAAAAGTCACAAAATAACGAAATCCATTAAGAGAAATATGTTTTATTGGGCCCCATACATCTGAATGAATTAACTGAAAAGGACTAACAACACGATTGGTAGCTCTCGGTTTGAAAGATACACAACAATGCTTACTAAACTGACATGCTTCACAAGGCATGGACTCAACACAACTAAGACTAAGACTGGGGACTTGACGCTGCAAAACTGATAAGGATGGTTGGCCGAGACGACAGTGCCACTAGAAAGGAGACAAAGATGATTGAAGAGCCATGGGAGATGGTCCAAGATCAAAGTAATACAAGCCACCTACTTCATGTCCCGTGCCAATCTTCTTCATCGTCTTGAGATCCTGAAAAATACAACATGAGGGATAAAATGTAACAGAGCAATTAAGAGATTTAGTAATTTGACTAATGGACATCAAATTAAAAGGGAATTGAGGAATATATAATACAGAGGAAAGGGACATAGAAGAGGTGAGTTGGGTGGTTCCCACACCCAAAACTTTAGTGGAGGAGCCATTAGCAAGAGTAACACTTTGTGAGGAAGGAACAGACTGAAAATCAGATAAAAGATGAGAACTACCAGTCATGTGATCGGATGCGCCAGAGTCAAGAATCCAAGGACTGACGAGAGGATAAGAGACATGCAGGTGAACTACCTGATTGGGCAAAGGAAACCATGGGAGATGAGGTGGAAGGCCGTTGTTGAGACATAAACTGAGCATACTCATCGCAGGAAATTGTCATGGTGACCATAGCAGACTCAACAGCCACTTGTGGAGCAACCACTTGTGGAGCAATTGGTGTGGCAGAGAAAGAAGAATCCCCTTCATTAGAGGTTACTTAATGTGCATAAGAAGAAGAAGGTGGTTTCCCATGAAGATCCCAATAGTAATTGATAGTGTGATTAGTAAGACCGCAGCGAGTGCAGAGTTTTGAGTCTCTGCCTTTGCCATGACCACGGGTAAACCGACCGCCACTGCCACGAGAAAGCTGATAACCACCCTGGTTCACAACTAATGCAGAACGTTCACTGCTAGGAGGAGCAGTGACACCACTTGAAGCACTCCTGGAAGCGTCACTAGATAGAGTAGCATGCTGGAGTCTGGAGAACATATCAAGAAGAGAGGGAAGTGTAAGGCTACCTAAAATCTGTGCACGGACAGATTCATATTCGGGTGACAACCCCGTGAGAAACCGAACAACATTAAAATCCTCACGTTGTTGTTGCATGCTCTTCACATCAGAGGTGATAAGCTAATACAAGTTCATTTCTTCACAAACTCCCATTGACTGGGAGAAGTATTCTGCAAGACTATGAGTACCTTGTCGGAGGTCAAAGAATTGTCTGCACACCTCATAAATTCTGGTGATATTACCAGTACCTGAATATAGCTGTTGGAGGCGGTTCCATATCTCCTTGGCAGTATCCAAATATAACAGGTTGGAGCTGATATTTGGTTCAATACAATTCAGCATTAAGGAAATGATCTGAGCATCCCTTTGTTCCCATGAACTGAAATCTGTATCACTGTCTTTAGGCTTATCCTTAACCAAATGAGAGCCAAAGCCTTTGGCTTTCAGAAAAATAGCTACTGACTTGGCCCATAAAATATAGTTCTTGCCATTGAGCTTGACCAAAGTCATAGGAGGATTGAAAGAAGCAGAAGAAAACAGGTCTGAACCAACAGCCATGGAGAAGGAAAGAGAGAAGAAAACCGAACCTAGGAAGAAAAAAAAAAAAACTGAATCCGGATCCGGACAAACGGGCCAAATCTGGGCAAACGGGCCAAATCAAAACCAATTTTCTGCTATTCCGGTTTTAGTAAACCAAGGTTGGGATAACTTCACGCCTGTAGCCAAACACCACCCTTCTCCTTCATAATCAGCGCCGGCAAGAACCAAAATTCTGCCACCGACAATAAACTCTAACACCCGAGGTTCGCAATGAAGAATCAAGGCTAGTACACACCCTAGCCCTTGCAGCGGTGATGGCAACCCAACACAAGCGGCGATTTAACAACCGAGCAAAGAGGGTTCGCGATGATGGAACCTCTGCAACTTGCGACAGCCAAGGCAGCCTCGGCCAACAAAACGAAGGGCTTCAGATCTGAGAACGACAGACAAGAAGCGCTGAACACAACGACAGCTTCAAACCTCCAACTCGAACAAAACGACGGCCAAACCTTCCGCGAAGAACACCACAGATGCAATCATAACCACAATCTTAGTTTCTCATTGTTTCGTACCGCTCTGATATCATGTTCAAACTAATGAGAGAGAGAGAGGGAGAGAGAGAAAGAGAGAGATAGCATGATGGCTACATAATGTGTATTTCATACATACAAAACCCTAAGCCTACAGTGGCTTATATAAAAATACAAGACTCAGCTAATTACATAATGACCCTACCAACTATATGTAATTACATAATGACCCAAAATATTCTAACAAATACCACTCAGAACTGTTCTCCATACTCAAGCTACCGCCATATATACACATATCTGGTCACTTGAAACTTGGGTTTCTCTAATAAAGAAAGTAAAAGGTATGGTTTTTACTCATTTTCAAATTTTAAGTTATATAGGTATGAGTCGAATGACTAGGGTCACTGTTTAGTGCAATAGTAAAAGATTGCGCTAATTTGTATTACGGACTTGCCGAAACCGGCAAGGGTGTCCGTGTCGACACGACACGACACGGACACGGACTCGGGATATGCGTCGGATATTGTACTGTCGTTGAAAAAAACGCCATTTTAGTTGGTTAGTTACTGAACTTACTGGTTTGGCCGGCGACGAGAAGGAAGTTTGTGACTTTGTGGATGAGACGAGTGGGATTGACGTGTTTTTTTGCTGAAATGCACTCAGTTTGTAGCGTGTTTTTCACGCTCTTTTAATATTGTACTTTTTTGCCTTTTTCACGCGTACATGAAACCATTCAGTTTCCGGCCACCATTGGGAACCGAAAAGGTAAGGACGTCTTATATAGTAGTATATATATAATACAATTGTGTGTGTGTGTGTATATATACATATAGATAATATATTAAGTGCTAGTGGCTTAAGGATGAGCATAAGAAGCAACCAAGAAGGTCACAAAATATGTCAATCAAGTGCTACTGATGAATTAGGCACGTTGTATTTGAATAAGAAAATAAAAGTTGGTACTTCTGTTGTGTGCATCAGAGAAAATGAAAACATTAATACAAAAAAATTCAGTATTCCTAGCATAAGTATAAACATATCTGCAACACTGGGATGACTACTAAACAAGTTACAGCATAATTGACCTCACTGACATCTGTTGAAGATGGGAAGAGATCTATATATGTGAGACACGTGAAATAGAAACAGAAATCTAGTTGCAGTTGCATGTAATCAAATTTCACCACTATATTACAAATGAAGAGTGAAAAATAAAAGATATCTGAAAAGGAACCATGAAAGAGACATGTCAAGGAGAGCAAGTAAACAACTTACATGGAATAGAATATCAAATGTGCAGGTATTCATTCATTAAACTCTTTCTGCTCGTGATTTTCCCTTTCCCAAGGCCCCTTCACGCTGGTTCCGGAAGTGGCTGAGAAGTTGTTGTGCCTGGAAGACAAAAAGATATCAACTTCATTTTCCAACCCCTCTTATCATTTCCACTGATGCACATAAGAAGGTTTATTTTAATATTAAACCAGTTCATAAAAGTAGAGGCCGCTACCAATTTTCTCTGCAGTAAAAATCCCTTAACTGCCCTAATATTCAAACTTCCAATGACGGTGTCACATAAATTTTAAAATGCTTCCTCCATGGCCCTATACAATTTGCTCATTCTAATGCTAATTATACACACACAGACGTGTTTACAAAAAAGTACAGCACTTGTTCAGATTAAAAATAATAATAATTAAGCGCGTCCCATCATTAGTGCATAGGGCACTGCTAATTTTGGCTATGTCATGCTTTTGTCTTTTCCTGGTAGACAGTAACAGCAGCAAATTCAATACCATGTTTTGGCACACTTTGAAACATCAAAAAGGACAGCCCTCCCCCCCACCTTCCGCACAAAAAATGAATAGAATAAAACAATAAAATCACCTTCTCTTTTGCTCTTGGTGTGCCACACTGAGATAATGCAACGAGAGGTGGAACAGCTCCTTCTTGCAACACCAGACGACAAAACTTGGGATTGTTAATGCACAGTTGCAACAGTATGGAAGCAGCATTTTCCTTTCCTCGCTGAGATCCTGTGTCAACAACCTCAACCAGTAATGGTATGCCCCCTGCACGTGCAATTGCCAAGCATCCCTCTGCCACTGTAGACAGATTTGCAAGAAGAGCAACAGCCTTGTCAACCATTTCTGTTGCAGGGTCCATCAACTCAACCAGGTACTTAATAGCTCCTGCTTGAATTATACGAGCCTTATTCTCATGATAGATCGAAAGGTTAAACAAGGCAGTTGCAGCATCTTTCTTCCCTCTGAGAGTACCAGACCCTAGCAGATCAACCAATGCTTTAACTGCACTAGAGCGCCCAATTTTTATTCTGTATTCTTCCAAAATAGAAAGGCTGAACAAAGCCGCTGCAGCATTCTCTTTGGCTCCCGCATTTCCCGTTTTCAAAACGTGGATTAGTGGTTCAATTGCTCCCTCTTCCGCAATCATGGCCTTAATGTTTTCATTAATTGATAGGTTCAGAAGGGCAGTAACAGCATGCTCTTGAGTTAGCTTCACTTCTGAATATAACAGCGAAAGCAACGGTGCAATAGCCCCACAACGGCCTATAATAGCACGATTCTCCATGTTATGCTTTGCAAGAAACCGCAATTCTGCTGCAGCGGAAGTTTGAGTTTCATTTGAATGACTCTTTAGATCTTCAACCAGTTTCTCAACATGAGAAGTTGCAGTTACATCATCACATCCCGGCTCAGCATATGGAAAGGTCAGTGTTCTTGGGTAATTACGGTTTCCATTGCCAGCCATTTCAGACATTGTCCTGGAGCTATAATATTGTTTTCCTGATAACCAGGGAGAGAATCCTGAACTTTTATTTGAAGGAGAAGAATTGGGAAACTCGGATACCATTTCTCCAGACAACTCACTCATATTTTCATGCCTACCAGACATCCTTGACACCTCAATCGATCCTGTAGGGATATAATCAATGCTTGACATTAAACTCGAGGTTGATTCACTCCTACTGTGAATGTATGACTGTTCGGGGGATGAGTGGCCAAACTTTTCATTTTCCTTAATCTGGAACCCATTAGATTCTTGCTCACTAAAATTATTCTGTTTCTGATATCCATGTCCATCGTCAACGGAGGATCTTGATGCAGAATCGTTACTGTGTGACGAACAACGGAAACTGTCCAAACGAATAAGATCCTGAGCAGATACATCTTCAGACCTGGATGGGGCTGAGATATTATTAGTGCACACAGAGGTGTTGGGGAGTTTTATATTGTTTTCCTCACACCAATTTTCTATCAGAACTTTGACAGTATAATTGGGAATGAGGTTTGTGTGAGAGAGGGTTTGACGGGTTTTCGGGCAATTAGTCAACCCATGATCCAGCCATTTTTGGATGGACGCCCTTTCATAGGTTTGGCCAGAAGCTACAATCACCGGATCCATCATAAGCCCTAATGACAAAGGGCAGCGGAAGTGTAAAGGGATCTGGACACCATTTATGGCCTTAAAGTTCTCGAGTTTAGTCATGCAATCACGAATATGGGAAATAAGGTCAACAATTTGGTTAATTTGATCTAAATCCCCTTTCTTTTTATTGACTTGGGCTTTCAATCTCTCCTTCTCCAAGGCCAAGCTCTCTTTCAACAGTTCCTGGCTTGATGTCAAACTAAGTGACTCAATAATTTTTATTAGATGTCCAGAGGATGGAATGATTCCTTCTCTTATACTTTTCAATGCCTCTTCTATGGGCTCTGATATTCTTTCCAGCTCCAAACATTGCAGTTCTTGCATACAGTGCTGAAACAGATTATGAAAAATTATTCTTGCACTTGGCACGGTCAGCCAGCCAATGAAGAAAGTGATGTCTATATAAAAGCAGCAAAAATGACAAATTACAAGAGAAAGGGAAAAGAACAAAAGAATAAAGAAACGGATAAACAGTTAAGAATGAGACATTGTCGTAAAGAGCCATATGACAACAGAAAAAACAAAAGATGCAAAAAATGATCCAACTTTGTGCACACCTGAATACAAGTTAAACTTGAAGTAGGTGGTGATGATTGTAGCAGTCTACATAAAATACGACAAATCTCAAGTGAAGAGCTATGGATTTTCATCACCAATGGCTCACTTTGCATAACCTGCAGAAGTCAAATGGCAAATCAAAGAACAATGAACTAGTCTTCAAAATAATAACAATGCAAGATGTATAAAAGATCCAATAGCTCCCAGACAACCTTTCGACTAAGTACTTTGATTGCCACGAAGATATAGTAAAAGAAATGTAAAGTAAGGATTTTATAATAACTTGAGGCTACAATGATTGTTACACGATTCCAAGTTTTCTTTTATTTCAAAATTTTCAGTACTCAAATGGAGTTTGAGAGAATTCAAAGAAATTCATACACTCTGCCTCCTCAAACATTGATTGAAAAGAAAGTTTATAACTATTAGAATAATCAATTTCAGCAAATAAAAAGAGCTTCATGGAAGAAATAAAATTTAAAATATATATATATATGGAAGTCCAGAATACAAATACATTTGACCAAAGAATAAAAATGTTTCCTATCTATTATTTCAGCATAGCTTCCTTGTATGAAACGGATCTAGAAGGTACTCACGCTGCAAATCTTGCTCATCTTGGGACACCAATTCTCTATGAACTCCCTAGCCTCATTAACAGCTATATCTAGCTCTTCACACTCTTTACAAAGGACTTCATCTGAAGGTAGTTTATAATCAACAACATTATCAAGCACTGGCTTCAACTGCTTTAACAAACTCGCCATATTTCTGCAACTCTTCTGAGTAGGCATACTCTTCAATGTCTGGCATGACACTAGATGAATGAATCGAGAAATGCTGTTTATAAGACATCTTACAGATTTTGCATCCATCTGACCTGCTTAAGTTAAACAAATCACGTTGTTAATTACATAAAAAGACAAAGGAATAAAAAGTGAGATTAAATGATAATGTTGTGCTTTACTGGAAAATCCTTACAAGAACAGCTTAACACAAAAGAATGGCCTTGAAAATAGTTAGTCCATCATGATAACAATCACAGGTGCTTTATACAGCACCCTAGTTATATAGCAACCAAATTGCAGAAAGATCAAAAGTATTTATAGTATAATATCATTATTTATTTTCTATATTCCATTTCTTCTTTTGGAAGGGTAAATCAAAAGATTAAACTGATTGACTAGTGGCTCCAGTTATGAACAGTGTGCAAGGAACAGAACAGGTGTGCTTTTGAGCCGAAGGAGATTCTAGTTCTTAAGCTCAAGCATGTTCTCAATGCCAGGGTCCCCTCACATATCAAATAATTTTAATATTCTAAAACACGAAGTACTATAATATAAGATAAATTAAATATTATTTTACATTACTCATGTGCCATAATTCAAAGCTTGCAAAAAGAACATATCACTAATGAAGCCAATAATTTTATAAAAGGGAGGCTTACTGAACTAAATGTTGAATGGACTGTAAACCACCTTGATTTAAGATGGTAAATCTATCTGAAAAGGAGAGAGGCGAGAGGGAATGATAAAAGAATCAGCATCTTAAAATAATGCGGGACATGCAGAAGAACCAGTAGAGGCAGAATGACTCTGCATATAGCCAGCAGGCACCAAGTCAACAGAAAACGTAAGGGTTGCTCATTTCCTATAGGATTGCTCTACTGGTGACAGCTTTACCCAGGACAAAAGAAATTCAACTCCAATCGTGAAGCAAGACCCTCAGATCATCCAATGAGTTGGAAGCACAGCAGTCTGCAATCTGAAGCAGCTAATTTATACCAATATTCCCATTACTACTAACTTATGTAGTCATCTGAGACTTATAATGCTTGATTTTAAGTGGTTACAAACATATGGGAAAGCAAAATTCTGTTTAGCAGCCTATATAACACAAATGTAACTCCAGTTTCCTCTTAATTCTTTATAGTATATAGCAGCATTGTTTAGAAACACATTTAATATGTCAGAACAAGTGAGAATACGTAGATACTTTCACGAAGATTGTTGAGAAAAGAAATCTATGAACTGAAACAACCAGAACTAGTAAAACCCCGAATATGGGCATTTTGACAAAATAAGAGTATTATTCTTTGTTATTTCTAAATATTTTCCATGAATAACATTTTTCAATGGATTATAAGAAATTCATCGGCAGGACTGGACTTGTGTGCTAGAAGGGAATGAATATGAGATCAAAAGACACACATTGAGAACATATTCTGACGCCAGTTGATGTCACTTTATAAAATTAGAGTAACAGAAAGATAAGAAACAGAAGAGCAACCAAAAAGATTACACAAGAGAATGAAGCAACTTATTGAATATAAATTGAAGTCCACCCGCGAATGAAAATATTGCACAGTATCAATAACAAATCCAAATCTAAGAACCTTTTAGGCCTGTGGCACTTAAAGTAATAAATCCCATAAACATGTATTTTGCAATGTACTTCAGTGGCAGGTATGCTGCAAAGCCAGAAATAAGAAAATAATTGTCCTTTGTACATCAAAATTTACAATCTTTAATTAATTTTTAGTGTTCCATTTGATTAAGAAGTTAATTCGACAATCAAATTCCCCATTTTAAGTTCCTTTTCAAAAAATTTGATTACCCAATTAACAGAATCGTGTTGATTCATTGTGAAGGGAAAGCTTTGGCCATCGCTTGTTCAGTAAAAAAACCAATAAAAGAGGGAAAAGGCAAAGTAAAAAAAATAAATTAAAAATTCTATCAAATTTTGAGAAAATGGCAATCCCATTTTTCTCAACTAAAAGCCTTAGAATTTTGGGATGACAATCTTCTTCGCAGCTTAGATTCACTGTATGGGAACAATTTGGACTACATTGATCAACACAAGAATGTTACAAAACCTACCCACTTGAGAAGATGAATTAATTAGACATCTTTGAATGTGATTAACCCAATTTGTTAAATAAAATCCTCAAGTTGAAAGAAAAAAGCTCAAGGCTTTAAAGAAAACCCAGCTGATTTTCTCTCCAAACCATCGAAGTATGAAATGAAAAATGTCCAAATTCATAACCGAAATATATATACACACATGCATATATATATATATATATATACACACACACACACATGTATATTATCACCACAAAGTTGAATTGAAAGATACCTCTGCTGTTGTGGAATGACCTTGTGTCTGAAGGCATGGACAGATCTTGATGAAAGCTTTGACATGAAAACTCCATAAAAATGATTAATTTTAAAGAATCAGTGCAACCCTTTCCCTCAACATCCTTTCTGAACCCTCTTCCTTACAGTGCTCCATCACAGAGAGAGAGAGAGAGAGAGGGGAATAAGGGGGAGAGGGGAAACTGAAACAATAACAAAGATGATGGGCAAAGTGGTGGGGCCAACTTTTTTAGTTGTGGATTTGTTAATTGATTAATGTGTGATTAAAATTTAATGAAGAATATTAATCAAAAAAAAAAAAAAGTGGGAACCTTTTTCTAATTAAGTGAGGAAAGGGAATGATAGATATCCAGGAAGATTGTAGATCAGTACTATGATTAGATTACAGATGTAATATGATTATTTAGGACTATTATACCCCTACTTTATTTATTACAGCTATGTCATAATGAAATTGGGAGGAGTAAGTAAAATAGTAACACCAAATGCTTGTCACTTGCATCACCTCAGATACAGTTTATACATTTTTTTTTATTTTCTTTTTTAAAATATACAGTTAATACTTTTTTAGCAATTTTTTATTTTTTATTTTATTAGCGTCAAGAAACACATCCGCACCCCTACCTATCCATCTAGTCTCTAAAAAACTGAATCATCAACTTTTAATTTTAAAAGACAAAAAAAAATACCATTAGACTATAATCTTTCTTAATTTTCTAACACTTTTTTCGGGTAATTAGACAAAAGAATAAAATAATACTAATAACATTAGTTTCAAAAGAAAGTAAATAAATTAGAGTTAGAAAATCTAGGAGAAAAAAAAATTTGTTAGTATTCTTCCCAAAAATTGTTTAATATATTATTTTTTGCTAATAATAATATAAAAAATATACTCTCACATCTGGTAGGTGAGGATCAATTTGATTTCATTTTTTATTCATCAAGAGAAAATTAGGTTTAGAAAAGAAAAGAGTGGCATATGGATATATAGGGTAATAAGGTAGGGTGGAAGTGTGACTGCAGTTAAAACAATTGTAGCAAAAAACAAGGGAATTTTTCAATTTTTGTACACTTACTTCAAGGGTCACCAATTATTACAACAACTGTAGTTATAAATGATTGTAGGAAAGTATGTTATTTGTGGATAATATTGTTTTGGATGAACATTTTTTAGAAGGCTAAGTGGTAAATTAGAGGTTTGTAAGAAAGACCTAGAATTTAAGGATTTAAGATAAAGGAAAAATAAAATTGAATATATAGAGCGTAATTTTAGTAATTTTAGAAATATAAAGAGGAATGTGTAATGAAAACCAAGGATAAAGAGATACCAAAAAAATGTTCTTTTATTAAGGGCTTAATTCAAGTGGTTAGTCATTTGAGTTCGGTGATGTCTTATGAAGGATCAGGTTTAATGTTCGATTTCTCTCGAGTACAAACAATATATTGGAATCACGCCTGCAAATGAAAGCCCTAACCTAACATGCCTGTGCCCTTAAATGCAAATAATTCCTTAGAGCTATATTCGCAAATGAAAATATAAACCTTACTTGATTCGTTCAGAGGAACGCTTTGTATGATTCTCTGAAAATTTAATCAAGGCAAAGTCCATGTTATTACAAAAAAATTAATAATAAAGAATACAATGTCGTTTTGTTTTTACAAGTATGGACAATGAAAAATAAATAAAATATTGAATATGATGCTAGTAATAGAGTCAAAAGCATCATAGATTATAAAAGAATGTGTTTAGTATATTGTGTGATAAAGATATTCTTCTAAGATTAAAAAGGAACAGTTTTTGGTGGAACCAAATGTTGGAAGAAAGAACGGGTCACCTCCTTGTGAATTTATTTTACTCTACTTCACCTTCTTTCTTTCTTTTTTTCTTTTTTTTTGAGGTTTGATGCAACATATTTTTATTTTTTATTTTCTTAGAGTACGTATATTGGTCTCACATCATAATAGTCACACTATTCAAATTAGGAATGCAATTCAAAAACAAAAGCGAGATCTCAAAAACTTACTTCTCTGATTCCTATCAATGCCGCTATGTTTCTAACAAATTTAATGCAACATAACATTACTGAGAAACTTCAGGAGAGATAGTCATGATGGACCGTTCTATCCCTTAGGTTAATTAACAGATTTGATGCAACATGACATTATTGAGAAACTACACGAGGGATAGTCATGATGGACTGTTCTATCCCTTGGGTTAATTTTTTAAAACTTTTTTTAAAATATGCATATTAGTCTCATAATACTATCTTCATTCAAATTAAAAATGTAGTTCAAAAACAAAAGCCAAATCTAAAAAACGTACCTCTCTAACTTCTATCAACGCCGCCATGTTTACAAGAGATTTTAGAGGAGAGATAATAATGATGGACCGTTCTACCCCTTGGGTTAATTAATACAAATGCACATGTCAAAAGTGGAATTGTGCGGGAGGGCAGGTATGTGTCACTCTCACACTTTACCAAAAACATATTCGGCGTGTGATGTGCCCATAGAGGGGGCAGAGGACGAACTGTAGTACACCCCATTATACAAAAGATCACGTGGTCTATATATAGCCCACCTCACCCGGCCCCTTGAAAAGATTTGACATCTCATTTCTTTACCGTATTTCCAATACATTTTAGGGTAAATTTAACTGGATAAAAATTTTCCCCTATTACATTTGTCTTACAGGGTGAAGATAATTCAAAATATACGTGATGAAAATATTAGAATATATGTTAAAAAAATATTGAAATATCAGTAAAAATAAAATTAGAATACACGTTTAAAAAAATATTAAAATACAAGGTAAACATTTCAATATTTTCGTAACATGTATTTCAAACTACTCTTCTCGATTGTGATAGATGTATGGTTAGGCTATAAAGAATTTTAATTCATTTTAACTTGCCTTTTATTAGATATGTCAAATTTTCATATAGAACCTCTGCATTCAATAATATATTATTTTACCGGTTTTACTTATAAATTATATATTTTCATTTTAAGTGCTTAAAATGGTAAATTTGTCTTTCTATTAAAAAAATTTTGATAACATTAGCAGAATCTATAATGTATTTTACAATAGAAAAAAATTTGTTACATAAATCAGGGGATGTAAGATTTGATATTGAAGATTCAGACTTTAATATTATTAGGTGGGCACACTTAAGATCGAACTCTTTCTCACTCGGACAATAGATTTAACATTCGGTATTCTTCTATACAAAGATTATGCTCCCCAAAATGTCAATTATAAAAGTTGAAAATTGTAGACGGCATAAATATTTACTAATAGAATTTCCCTTTTAGAAAACGAATAAAAAAACCCAAAAAGGCAAACTTTACTTTTCAACTTGGTACGAATATCATTTGTTCTCCACATGCTTCTCCCTTTGCTCCGACGTACACAAATATATATATATATATATATATATGGTACGAATATCATTTGTTCTCCACATGCTTCTCCCTTTGCTCCGACGTACACAAATATATATATATATATATATATATATATATATATATAAGTAAAATAAAAATTTTTGTTAAGAGAGTGTCCAAAGTACCATTTATTTATAGGTCTATTTCGATGCCACGTGTCAGACATGGCCTCAGGCTTACTACATCTGAATCATTGCTCTGTTAGAAACATATTCGTTGTCCTCAACAATCTAGGGTTCTTGCGAGGGGTGTACAGCATTAGGTAGCCAAAGAAAATGAAAGGAAAGGTAAGGCCCTCTTTAATTTTTGTTAAATCATTTATATTATATTTTGTAATGATACTAAAAAAAAAATACCGAACTAACTCATAAAACAAGGACGTGAAAATAACAAAATTAAGAGAACGTACGAGAAATATAAAAGCGGCCAGTTGAGAAAAATTGTTCAACCCAATTAAGAAGAATTGTTTGACTTTATTTATGAATTATTCATATTGCATAGGATTGCAAACAAAACAAAATCTTAAAAAAAATGGTTTGGACTTACCAAGAAAAGTACTTTTTTTTTCATATTTCGTTGAATAAGTAGAAAAATTTAAGTCCAAATAACATTTTTCTAACTTGTAAAATAAATGAGATAAACATATTCGTAACAGACTCATATTTCATCTCGACTTTGTAGGATCAAACATATTCATAATAGTTTCATTAAGACTTGTGAATATGATTTATTTATATTTATAATTTGAATTCCAGTTTAACCTTGATGTTGAAAACGATTCCAAATTTGAACTTAAAATTAGCCAAACAGCTAATCTCATACTTAAGTAGTAAAAAGTATTTAAGGAGAAATATATGAGTTTAGATTCACTCAAATTGAAACTGAATCAAACTCAAACAACTAACTATTTCATTTGATGGAACTGAACTTGGGAGATTAAGGGTATATATGATATGCGTTTTGTTTTTGACGTTTTGTTTTAACTTTAAAAAAAAAGTATTTTGCTGTAATTAGTTTTGAATAACAATCGGAAGCATGTTTGGTAACATTCATTTGTTACAGGATTTTTGTAAGTAAAAACATGAAAACATGTTTGATAAAATAGTGGTGCAAGTTTGAAAAATATAATAGTTAATTTAAAAATGTAATTTAAGAGATTTTTTTTAAAAAAAAAAAAAAATTATTGTTCATCGTTACAATTTGAAAACATATAAAACACCAAATTAATGTTGCGATTTTTAGCCATTATTTACTAAACCTTTCGACACTGTACACAACAAAATAACTTTTACTAAATATATATTTTTCACTATTTACTACTTAATCGACAAAAATAAAACGCTCACCCCAAACATACCTAAATGTTTGATTACACAACCACCCTACCTATCCACATTTAAATTATGTTTTTACCTATTATTGATCCCTTCCTTGGACACTGTTGTTAACCAAATCAGAACATTTGTTCCCAATAAATCAATTTGAAAAGTCATACTTACCCTTTGTCACGTCAGTACAAACAGAATCAATAGTATAATAATTCAAGAAGTCTTTATCAAATCTAAATCAACTAAGCCAAAATAAGACTGTTTGGAGGATAGTTGTTGGCCAAAATGATAGGTAGCATCTGATTATTACTCTGTTAGAAATCAATATTTATTGTCCCCATCTCTTCAAGCTATATGAAAAAGACAAGCCTCATTACTCAACAATTTACTAATTTAGGGTTTTTGTTGGAGCATTGGGTAGGAATCAATGGCGAGCCCAACAAATGCAATGAAAGCTAAGGTCCACCTGGTCAATTGTTATTATCATTTCTATATTTTTCTTATATTTTGCTAAGACAGAATTTCAGGATACATTTGACTTATAACTTTAAGAACAATTTTATATTTTCTAAAAATAAAAAAATACATAAAAAATTTATTTGATTCAGTTTTATAAAAATTTAGGATTTAAGATAAAGGAAAAATAAAACTGTCTTATATAGTTCTCTAAAAACAATTTTCTATCTTTTAAGTTCTAGAGAATTGTTTTCAGAGTTACAAATTAAGTAGGCTCTCATATTTCCATAAAGGTTGTGTTCGGTTGTATGAAATTGGAGTTTTTATGATTGGAATTAGTGAAATTAGAGAAAAACAATTCAGAAAATTGAACCAAATTTTTCTCCAATTCTACAAATTTCAATTTCAAGGCTTCAATTCCATACAGTCGAACACATCTTAAGTTTAGATGGCATTTTTCAATTTGTAAAATAACCTTCCAACCCGACTTTATAGAATGACAAACATATTCATAAACTATGTCGGGAATAATTTCATTAGAACCACTTCAAATTTGAACTTGAAATCGACCAAATGTACCACCCCTAGACTTCAGACTTAACAAATATAAAATCAAACTTAAGTTGGAATACTCGAATGTAGCCTCAAATTGAAATTGAGTCCAAAATTTTTTTAAAAAAATGTTTCATTTGATGGAATTCAACTTTATGAATTAAAGCAGATGTCTCAATAGTCCAATAGGTTGGTGCCTTCGATGGGTTTTGAAGTATCGACTTTGCATCTACTAATTTAACTTCTAATATTTCTTGATTTGCGTGTTAAAAAAAATAATAATAAATAAATAAATCTTTATGAATTAAATGCTTGGTTACATAACCACCCTACCAATCCACATTTAACTTAAATTTGACCCATGACTGGCCCCTCCCTTGGACAGAAGGTTTGTTAGGTAATTAAAATGTCATATTTGCCCTTTTCAGAACAGTACAAAGAAAATCAATATATAACAATTCAAATATATAGTGGAAAGTATAATAATTTTGTCTTTATCACTTCCAAGGCAACTAAGCCAAAATAAGGTTGTTTGGAGGATACTTAGTTGGCCAGAATGATAGATATAACTTTATCTTTTTTGCATTATAGATAGAAAATTACTAAGTTTAAATTAGAGAGTAATGCTATCAATATAACCTTCTCGTTTACAGTAATGAACTCCCTTGATAGTTAAGATTGAGAATTTTTTTTAAATAATTTATTTGACTTTTTTTTTTTTCGACGATAATGGTGTTGGGCCTCTTAGATTACCTATAATTTATCATTGAGCACATACTTTCTCCCCGCCCCACAAATATCAGACAATCATTAAAATAAAATAAAATAAAATAAAATAAATTTCTTGAAGAGAATTCAAAGCTACGGCCTTCAAGCCGTGAGGTGTGTGAGGTGTGTCTTGAGGTGAGAATATACCATTAAACTATTCTCTATCCTCTTAGAATATTCATTTGACTTTTCAAAAATCTCAACAAGTTGTCTTGAGCCAGTGATAAATAAATAGAAAATTCATGACTGGTAATAAAATTCTCTCAATAATATTACTCTAACAATATTGTTAACTTAAGTAATGAGAGAGTACACATCATTTGAACTTACAAGAGTGCCGGCTCAACTACGCTGGTCATAAACTTTTAATATCTTTTAATTTCAAAATATTAGATGTATTGAATTTATGTATATCATAATAAAATTGAGTATCCCAAGTTTTTGTTTGACTTCCAAAACTATTTGTATATTTCATTTAATTTAATTTTACAGTCTGCTGCATGAATCTAACCATTTGTATATTTTTAATTTATTTACAGTTACATCAATACTTTTTAATTTAGAAATTAATTGTGGGTGGATAGTTTGACGACTTTTGTGGGTGGACACTGACAGGTTACAGGGTGTCATGATCCCACATGGTCTGAGGAAGGGGAAATGTTATATGCAGGTTCAACGCCCTTTTATGATACAACACGTTTTAAAGCCGTGGCGGCTATGAAATTACCAGAACTCCTGAGTGCTTAACCTGTAGCGGTACTAGGATGGGTGGCCCCTAGGCAGTCTCTTGTCCGAAAAAAACAGACAACATTATGTCTGGATAGAGTAAGGGCTATTACAAATAGTGTCTGGTGCCTTACATCCATGAAATGGATATATATAGTGGGTAATTAACTTTTACAAAAGAGTAGTGATACTATCGAAAATTTGTAGTGAATTGTCTAATCGAATAATTTTTAATTAGCTATTTATACTAAATACAACTAAGTGAAAGGTTCCACTTACTTATTTGTTGTATAATTAACCAATTAAAAGAGTAAGTTTAGCAATTTACTACAATATTGGTGCAAGAATCATTTTCCTATACAAAATGTTACCCTTTGATTGAAAATATTTTCCTGCCAAATTGTTTTATTGAACTTTTTAAATTCACAATTGGATCGTTGTCCACATGTGATTCATATTATTATATGAACCTATAATAGGGGTTTGAATCTCCCACTAAATGATAAAAAGTTTTTATGATCCTAAAAACAAAAACAAGCACATGCCTTTCCAACTGTTTTGTTTCATTAGATGTTGGCTTCAAAACGCCCAAACTCAGTTTTGGTTACGTAACTTTTTATAGGCATCTAAGTTAAAGAATATCCAGATCCTAATGATAGTAATTAAAACACCATTTATGACTCGTAGAACTTGAGCATTGCTTTCCACCTAAATGGCTTTAAAGTTTATAGGATAAATGCCATGTTGTAGTTCAGGATGGTAATACATCAAGGATTGGGCGCAGGTACATTTCATAAACCCTAACCACATTCTTGTTGCAAAAACTTAAAAAAAAATTAGGGCAACACCCTATCCGGAAAGATAACCTTGAACGAGATTGACATCAATAAGACTCATTTCATTTAAGAACCAGAATCCCCTCCTGTGCAAAGGCGGCACATGACCGAACCGGTGTCATTTCGGTGCACATCACAAAGGGCTCCGTGCCTATGCACCAAAACGAAACCAATTCGGTGCATAGGATCACCACAGGTGCAAAGGGGATCCTAATTCATCCAACAAACAGGAAATTCGAGGAATCAGTGATAATCAAGACTATTCATAACATGTTCTACTCCAATTATGTTGTACATTAGATGGCTAAGGAGGCCGCTTTCACCTTGTGCGACACCTCAAAGACTTTGAATTGAGCAATTTTAGACACCAAGAAACATGAATGTTGATCAAGAGTAGGCAAGGAAAAATGAAAAATTACAACAGGTAAAAAGCACATCAAGGAGTCCTGCACTGGTCAAAAGAAACATAATAAAATCTACTGCTATAAAATCTTCGCAAGGATTAGCAACACTACTTTAAATCTTAGGTAAATTAAAGCAAAAAGACGTATTGTTATGGCAACAAAAAGGTTCATGTAAAGACTATCTCAACATGAAAAACTGGTCTGTTGATTTCGACTCTGATGCGTCAGAGAATCAGGTTGAACTTGAACCCACAGTTAGCAACTCCAGAAGCTCGCGTTTCTTCAGCTTTGAGAACCCTTTCATGCCACGAGACTTCGCAAGTGCTCTTAATTCTGTCAGCTTCATTACACTTAAATCCCCAAATTCAGTTGGTGCATTTTCGTCTGCATCATCATCATTAAAAACTTCACCGGAATCTATGATTTCATCTTCTGAGATCTCATCCCCATCAAAAAAACTGGTCTCAGGCTCAAGCTCTACCTCGAGCTTAGCCACGTGCTCAATTCCAGGATCAGGATGAGTCTTCTCTCTTTTCCCATCTAAATTTGTGTATGGAACAGAATTGACAGTGTTTTCGTCAGAATCAAGGGGCTGCAACTTGACTTGAGGGACAGGAGATTTACGCTGGAACTTTGATACCGGTCTGCTAAAAGATGGGGACTCATGCTCTTGGTCCTCGTCTTTCTTCGTGTTAGTTGAATCAAAGAAGCTTGTGCTTTTCTTTCCATTAAGTGGACCATTTGGTCTAGCCTGGTCCGAAATGAAGTCTCTGCTGCTCCTACTGCTATTGCTTTTTTTTCCTTGCTGAACAGAATGTTTTCTCAAAAGCTTAAGGAGTGAATCAACAGTTTCACTCTCTTTACCTCGTTTTTGCAAATCATCCTTCTTCTTTTCCTTGGTAGCTGCTCTTTCTCGAAGTTGAGCCTGGACCTTTCTGAATAGTTCAACTATCTCCTTTTCTCTTGGACCTGGAGTAGATGTGGCTTGGAACTTCGGGGAACTGGAGAGGGAAAGTAATGGCCCATTTTTTGATGAAAACAGTTCAGATTCCTCGAGATTCTCAGAGCCATCTCTCTCTTCATTTTGCCTATTTCTGTTCCTGGAGAATCCACGCTTGTTTTGCCTTGAGAAGTCTGGGTTTCTTCTGTGACCACTAGAACTTGCATTGCACACACAAGACGTCCCCCTGAAAGTGCTTTTAAGTGAAGCAACCTTGACAACTTTGTACTCACTGCAGAAAGATCTAGATGATACACTGACGGCTCTTCCAGAAACTCCTGAGCAGGGGAGACAACTGCCATCTGAAGGACTGTAACCTGCAAAAAACCAGGATCCATAGTCAGAAAATTATAGGCATGGTGCAAGGATGGGGAATTTTGATTATGAGTAATCAAACCATTGATAAATGTGACCTGCAAGAAGAAGATCAATACCCAACAGTAGATTGGCCTCCACTTATAATTCTCAACAAATAATTTAGCAGGAAAAAAAGGCAACGGGTTAGAATGACATGGCAGGGAATCTAAAATATTGTTTCTGGCAACACGTGCAGGGTACCTGAAACATCATAAGCTCTTGGCATTATATCTATGCCTTCTAGAAGAAGACTATCCTGCAATGATTCGTAGGGATGCTAACTAGCAGATTGATATCCTTGCCTATAGTATAGAAAGCTTGAACCAGTTTGTTTCACAGTTCTTTAGTAGTATATATCCAATCACTTCTTTAGTAATTATATAAAAATAAATAAATGTTAATGATTAATTGTTAATTCATGTAGCACATCATACATCTTGACAACATTACAGGGCTTACGTGTTACATTTCAGAAAATAGTAGGCGCAGTTTGAGGACAGGGAAATTTTGAATATGAGTAATCAAACCATTGATAAATGTGATCTGCAAGAAGAAGATCAGAACCCAACAGTACATTGACTTCCACTTATAATTCTCAACAAATACTTTGGCAGTAAAAAAAAAAGGTAATGGATTGGAATGACATGGCAAGAAATCTAAAATATTCTTTTCCGCAGAGTACCTGAAACATCATAAGTTCTTGGCCTTGTTACACAGATCTTTAGTTAGATATTAGTTCCAATAACTTCCTTAATTAATATATTAAAAAAATTAAAAGTTTATGATTAAATACTAATTCATGCATCTTGACAACATTACAGGGCTTACATATTACATTTCAGGGCTTACATGTTATTCTACAATTTTCCATCTTTCACCCAAAAAATAAAAATCTGTTTGCGTCCATGTGGATAATTATGAAGAAAAAGTGGAAATTATATGCTTCGTATTTAATCTTCTCATAAATTCAAAGTGCTATTCTGTATCATACGCCCAGACACTACATATTCATGTTGAAGACTTGTGCATATGTGCTTCCATGTGAAATAAGTGTTGCAAGATTAGCAACTGCAACTCATAAATACTCCCCTTGTATCATCCTAAAAAGATAAACAACAATAAACTAGAGCATGTTTTTCAATAAATTTAGTTTGTACAGGTATGTCTTCAGGAGTACGCTAGGAGCTCAACAAATAATCAACAGCTAAAACAAATGAAAGTTTTGCATTCAAAAGCAAATAAGTAATAAATAAAAGTACTTCAAAAATGCAGATCAAAAGTCCCTAACTAAAAGGTTGTCTGTTTGCATAGCTAAACTCAAAGCCAAAACCAGAGTTCTAGGATGTCCTAAATTTGTAAATGAGAGTACCACTGCAAAGTCAATAGTTCAGTTTGCTATTATTATAGAGAAAAGAAAGAACTTAAAAGCATTCCTACCTCCAAAGCCAATCTTTTTAGTAACATTCACCGCATCTCTTGTGACTTCCAAATCCTATATTCCCAACTATTATTTTCTTGGTAACACATGTAATTTAAGGAACCGATATTCAGAGAAGTAGTACTTCAATATGTAAAATAGATAAATATTTCTATCAAATTATATCTCTAGAAAAAATTAAACAAATTAATGGGTACGGAAGCTAGAATAATCAATAAAATAGCAGCCAATTCTGTCTGTTCTTATTGCGAGACAATAATTATATGCACCAAGTTTTCGTGGGCCTTTTCTGGACCAGTTAACCAAATGTGGAACAAAACACCAAGTTTTCGTGGGCCTTTTCTGGTCAAGTTAACCAAACGTGCAACAAACTTCAAAGAATCCAATTGCCGGCAGTCGGAAGCCGATCGAACCAATCTGAAAGGCTTAACGTTCCTTTAGATAGTAAGAATTTCAATTCTATTAGTATTGGTTGTGCTACTTGTGTAGAGATTCCATAGTTACTTAATTGACTGATCCCTTAAAAATTAAGAATTGTCAATGTAAGAATAATATTTCAATGTACTCAAACAGATTGACTGATTCCATAGTTACTAAAACTAAATGTCTAGAAAATCCACTTACATTGAGTTTCAAGCATGCCATGCAAGTGCAACAAGTATGCACCCTTGCATGCAAAGATGCGTGCATGGGCACATAAAGGGTTGTCTGTCCATAGCTTTTTTCTCTCCCGTAGTTACTTAACTGACTGATCCCTTGAAGATTAACAATTCCAACGTAGGAATAATAATTTTAAAAAGTCCCAAATCAAACTAATTGTCTAGAAAGGCCATTTACATCAAGTTTCAAGCATGCCGTGCAACACATGCACTCCCATGCACATATGTCCAATGTAAGAATAATATTCAAGATTTTCCATTTAAATTGAGTTTCCAGCATGCCGTGCAACATGTAAGCATGGATCTGTGCATACACATTGCCTATTGAGAGGCTCGTTTATTATGGATCACTCAACTAATCTATCAAAAAATGGGATGTATATTTAGCCAAGATGATGCTGATGATTAATTATCTTACAAATACACTTGATCAAAACAAAGATAGCACATGTGCTCTTTTTTCTTGTCTAGATGATAAAATGTCATATAGACTACTAGAATCTCAAGTGGGACTGTGGGGGATAGGGTCTCCCCCTGAGGGGGACTTGGGGGAGTAAAGTACATTTCCACCTTGAAGCCCCCGGATAATAAAGGCATAATTTATATATATATAGGGAGAAGAATAAGATATTCAAGTCCTTTTTCAGCTTTCTTGCTTAAGTAAGGGGCCCAACCTAACAACCCGACAATTTCCTCCATATCGCGTTACCTTTGCAGTAGGTATAGCTTGCCTCACCCCCTCCCCACTGTTTCCACAGGAGAGTAAGTGCATCTACTGCCTAGGAGGCAAAGGCTGCACTATCGACTAACTAGCCCGCAGAATAGGGCATGCCATCTGACTTATTGCTGTCATGACCGCCAAACAATATTTCACATGCATTTTAGCTTCTCATTTCCACTGACAGCTTTTTTGAAGAATATAATATTAACTCACCACTGCAAAACAAATCATTTACATTGCTCTTAGCAAATTATGTACCTCAACGAGTAGAATAAATAAAACTTATGTCTCATTTATATGTTCTACATATATCAAGTAGTCTGCTTCAGGGTTATTTTACTTCCTAGTAGTAATTTCAGATTCTAATGTTACCCTATGGAGGACTAGTCTAGTGGCAATAATATTCTTAGAACTATCTTCTTGCAGATGTTGAAGTTAAACAACAGCTCTCACCTCTTGTTACAACAAACGTCACAAACCAAGAACATAGCAAAAATTACGTCAAAAAAGGAAACACGCCACACACAAAGATTTACATGGTTTGGCGTAAGCCGACATCCACGGTGAAGATTTGATGAAAGATTTCAATACACAGAAATCAAAAGATTACAAGTTTTAGCCCCCAAAACCCTAGAGCACGCGCTCTCTCTCTCTCAAACGCCCTTGTATCCTAGGCTACAAGAGAGTCCTTTCCATGGTCCAAGACCTGCAAGAGAAAGCTGGTCAAAAAATTGCCCACACAAAACTCATTTTTCGGGTCGAAATTGGACCACGTTGCGTGCCAAGCCAAAACAAAATTCGAGCCACAACATCACACCTCTCATTGACTACCTTAGGAGAAAGGTGGGGTTAGAGACTTGCCCACAATCTGAATTTTGGGGGCATTATTGTATTTTTCACACTTGTCATGTAGCCCTAGTGGGTGCGGTGGTATATGTATCATCTTGAACTCTCTGTAACTGTAACACTGTGGACGTAACTCAGGTTTTGGAATCAATCTTGCTACTTCTGGTCCTGGAATTTCCACGCTTGAAAAAAAAAAAAAAAAAACTGGGGCGTATCACTCAAATCATTGGTCTCGTACTAGCTTTCCTCTAGGCAAGATGCCTAATATAACTAGGGAAGTTTTGATAAAATATACTTTGGCGGCTCTTCCCACCTATGGCTTGCTTCAAAATCCCCACCGGTATTTCATTAAACGGGAAAATGATGCATTTTTAAATCTCTGTGTTTCTTGATTGTGTTCTTCAAGCGTTCTTCTGCCATTTTTCTGTTAATTTTCGCAACAAACCGGGTGCAAAAAGAAAACAGAATTCAAGTCCAATCAAGTAATATACTCTACAATTAACTGAATCTTAAAATTAAAATCAAGCATGGCTAGGGTCTGAGGTCAGCCTCTATCAATCCAATGACTACGAGGGCACGAGCTCAGTGAAAGCGCCCTCGCCATAGATTTTTTGCACTAACAAATATACACATACACGTATTATATATGTATATATGTGTACGGGCAAACAATTTCACGCCACAAACCTAAGGAAACTACTGAACTTCAGTAAACCAAACTCTAGATTTCCCCCAATAAAGCGATAATCTCTAGAAAATGACACAACTTTCATGACCCATTTGAAAAAGAAAAAAAAAAAAAAATTGTCTAAATAAATAAGGAACATAACCTTATCGTTTCACAAAAATAAAAATCCTCAAAAAAATTAAAGAAACCAGCGAATGGGCTTCAAGAACATGTATAACAATCTTCAGTAGGTAGATTATTTAGAGAGAGAAAGTGGACTGAAAGGTATAAAGAATATGCCGTACTAGTAAAATTTTCAAGATTATGAATGTTTGGACAACTAAAAATTGAAAATGAAATAAAATCAACGAAACCCTAATTGTACCTGGAACGCTTTTGGTGACAAGATGGATTGCTCGAGACATTGCTTGAGTTGGTACGAAATGAGATTTAGAGGCGGTTTTGCATTTTATGCTGTTCTCACTCACAGTCACAGCTCACAGAAGAGACGCACAAAATTGTTTTGGTTTGTTATATACGTATTATAGGTGTGTGTCGCCAATTATAATGGTCTGTTTGGTTGGCGAGAGTGAAAGTGGAACGAAAGTGAAATGAATGAAAATGTTTTTTTTTTTTTTTTTTTTTTTTTTTTAACGGTTTTTAATGCATGAAATTTATTAGAAACATTTTTTTCCTTAAAGACCGTGGACATGCAGGGTGACAAAATTCAACGCAAGTGGAACACAACATGAGATAAACAGGTTTGAGTTTATCTTAAATGGGTTTAAATCTTAAACGGATAAACACGATTAACCTGTTTAATTAATCTTGTCGTGTTAGGGTCGAAGAGTTCAACACATGTAATCCGCTTATACCTGTTTAACTAAAAGTTTCATAATTGTGCTAATATCACTTGTGTAATAGTTTAGACCCAATTGATATGGACAACTAGATCATTTTAATATAAATCCTAACAAAAATATGCATTAACTCTTTAACTAATTTATATTTTTTTTTATAATATTTATTGTTTGATTGAGTATTATAAATAATCTAAATAATATAATGTTTAATTTTGGTAAATGGGTCATTAAACAGGTTAGCATGTCTAATCCGTTTAATAAAGAGATTGGATTAGTATTAATAGGTCATATTCGGGTTGACTAATTCAGTAGAATACTTGACAATATAATTATAACCCACAAACACAAATTGTCATCCTTAGAGACAAAAGAAGTTTGCTTCCGCATGTGTAATTATGGACACTACATCTGTGTCCGCTTTCATTAGATATAAATTAAAGCGATAAGCAAATTTAAAACAAAGTAAAGTAATTTATAAAAAAAGTAAATTTTGAAAAGTAGTAATACTTACACTGAATAATTTTTAATTGGCTATTTATATCAAATACAACTAAGTGATGAGTTCCACTTCCTTATTTATTGTATAATTGACCAATTAAAATAATAAGTCTAACAATTCACTGCAATTATTTGGAACAAGAATCATTTTCTAATTTTGTATAGTTATGTGTGATTCAGAATGCACGATCCTTATAAGAAAAAAAAGAAAATTGTCAAAATTTCATTTTAAAAAATAAAATAAAGATCAAAATTTTGATTTTTTAATTAAAAAAATTTACGAGAAGTCAGGTTGTTATGAAAAATTATACTCCCTTACAAATTTTCATTTCTAATTAAACTATTAAAAGTATCAAATTACAGGATCCTAGTTCCTCCGTTTGACTGAATATGTTCAAAAGAGGATTTTGATCCCTCCCAGTGAGAAGAATGTTAGATGCACCTTACGAAAATGTCTGGGACGCAAGGCCAAACATCTCAATATTCTCATAGTGTATCACTAATTCTCCTTATTGGCCAGGACATATGCACAGTTGCGCAGGAGAGGATTTTAATCCCATGTGTCCTCCCGTATGTGTGTGTGTGTGTATCACGAAGCCTAGAAGTGAGCATCTGCTTTGCACAAGGAATCTGATGTATTTTCATGTGAAATATTGAATCAACTTTTGATGATTTCATGTTTACATGGCACTTGACATCATGCGACAAGGGCCAGCTAAAAAACTACGAGTACATGACACTAAACACTTTATAGCAGAAGTACAAGGTGTCACTGTAAAGGAAGACACAAAAAGGAAAGTTGGATCAGTTCTATTTTAAACCTAATCAAGCTTGTCTTGTGCTCAAATGCGAGCATCAAACTATCTCCCAAAAAAAAAAAAAAACTGAGTTCTGCAACTGTGTCTAATTCAATTGAATCCAATCCATCATTACACAGATTTCAATTTCAATTCTATACTAGGATTGACCCTCCTCAACTTGCCAAAAATGAATTTGTTCGTCCAAAAATGAACCTTAATGGTATTTCGTGGAGGGTTCATGTCTCCACTGAAACAATAGTGTTTATGCGAGAACGGTGGGTACTTGAGCGTGTGTTCTTACCTACAAATATGTGCGCGCACACACTCGTGTGTGAACTTGGGTGATTACAAGGTTGGTCGCTGCCCCACATTGGCAATTAACCAACAGATCTCACACCAGAAACTAGTTTAAAGAAAGCTGAAAGCCACCAATTTACAATTTCTATAGCATAGTAATTCAGGGAAACTGTATATATTACAGTATGTGTGTGTGGTAGTGGTATGGGGGGCACCAATTTAATTCAGGGAAAGGATGGTTCACCTGCCGATAAGTAAAACTATACTTTTAAGGGTGGGATGCAGAATCACCTACACAAAAGCCGTCTAGTGTGTGTGTGTGTGTGTGTGTGTGTTAACTGTTTACAATTTGATGCAGCAACACCGACCTAAAGCCTAGCCCCTGTGCTTGGGTCAGCAATCTCAGCCTTAGACCGGGGAGTTTACACTGGATCAGTAAGTTCCCATTTCAGCCCAAGCACAAACAAGCATAAATGCAAGTATGAATCAAGCCTAAGAATAGTCCAAAATTAAAACACTGACCAGATTGCTGAAAGCTAACGAAAGCTAAATAGAGCAATAAAGTAAAGCCTAGGGCCTCCATACAAGCAAATTATTAAGTCACTCGGTTACTTGAACTCCTTATTGCAAGTTTTCAGACTACGAAAGGGATGTTAAATACAGTTAATCACAAAATCTGATACAGGCCGCTTCAAATTTTCCAACTGCACATAGAGAGATAGAGAGGGGGAGGGAAAGGGAGTCCAATTATCAGGCCAAATCTGGTGAAGGAAAATGATAAATAAACCACGCCATCCATGATGGATGAACATTGGGACGATCCCAAACTCTTATTGTCCTTGACCAAAAAAATGGTCTGACAAAGAAAATGTGCAAGGAAAGAAAAACACACACACACACAGACCAATTGAATCGGAGCTTTTACTTTGCGTGTACCATCTACGTTTTGTGACTTTTTGCCATCTCATCAACATCCAATTCAATTTCCAACACAGGTGAATCCTTCCGCATGCTGAAATGACTGGTAAAAATAACACCACCACATTAAATCATCACAATATTTTATTGACATAAATTGAAAATGCATTGAGTTAATTAAATGTGATCAGCTCACCTGTTCTGCACAGGACCATGATCAACGGCTGTTTTCAGGCAATATATGACTCTGCCAACTATGTCTGTCATGGAAACAGGGCCAAATGTTCGACTATCATTGGCTTCCTGCAATTAAAAATGGGAGAAAAGAGGGAGACGAAGAAAAGGCTTATCAGGTATGCCAATTGCCAATTATTTACAGAATCAAGCATTGCCCACATACCAAGCACTAGCATGACCTAACTGATTTGCATTTACACCCATGCCTCAGAGGTAGAGACAGTTGAAATGCAAAAGGTTGTCTCATTCTGAAACTGATTCGGAATTAGCAGAAGTAAAATATTATATCTGTATGTTAGATAGTAGAGCACTCTCCATCTAGCTTATGACAGAGTCTTGGTCTTAGCTTTTGAGATACCTTTGGTGTTCCCATACATGCTGAGACTGTTGGATCACAAACCCGAAATACTGAATGCTTCATCATCCCCATTGGATACCATATTTTATTGAACAATTATCAGTGACTCGTAAATTTATAGAATAGATATAACACAATTTATCAAATTCAGTTAATTATTTTTCTCTTTTCTAGCAACCAAGTTCATTGCTTTGATGTTGCTGATATCCATGGAAGGAGGATGGCCCTAAATATGAGATCATAGAATAGAATTCCCAAGATTAGGAGAAAAATCATATAATAGAATTCCTGATACCCATTGGTCAGTGTTGCCTTGTTAATGCATACTTACCCTGATTCACAAAGGGAAAAAAAGAACAATAAAATAAGCCAAGAGAGAACTTGTGAGTCCACAAAATAGTAATTTAAAACCAAAAAAGAAAATGCTTTTACACCCGGATAACTCTTTCAGTTGCCAATATTTTAAAGATGGTTCAGAAAGAGTTTTGTGGTCTGGGGTCTGGGAGTCCCATAAAGATCATATGATTTAACTGGGAGACAGTATTTAGGCCTAAAATGAGGGTGGATCAGGGTTGTGTAATCTAGTCTTGAAGATAAAACCTTATAAGATAAATGCTTATGACGATGTCCTAAAGAACAGAGCTCGGTTTTACATTTGGTGGTCACAATATTGTTTGCAGGATAACAATTGGGAATTTGGGATGTAAATTTAGCTTCAGAGGGAACTCTTTTTTGTCCTTGTAAGGCTCTCTATAAACAGTACCCCGACTTCTCAAATCATATTAGGATCACTCCCAAAGATGGATCTAGTGTTTGTTTTCGGAAGATCTATAATGAGGAGACCATACTTCCAATTTACTCATCGTTTCAGATTATTATTCTTCATGATGCTCCTATTTCTGACCTTATGATTCATATCATCCTACGCCTTGGAAGTCTGAACTCAACTTTTTTTTAATTTGAATAATAGGAAAACAATTGGGTTGTCTTCTGTACTTCCCCTTCTTGATTAGGTAGATCTTTGATCTTTATTCAGGAGGAGAGATGTTGATGTCTAAAATCCAGTTGCTCTTTTTCCTCTAAATCTTGTGTGCTACCTTTCAAAATATGTCAAATCATTCTCCATTCCGTTCTGGCCAAAGCTTATTGGAAGGCCATGGTTCCTCATAAAGCAAGGCAGAATAGGAAGTACAGAAGAAAGCTAATTGCCTTGCTTTGATGGTTGTTCACTTGTTAATCTGAGGCAGTTAGGCATCAGAGTTAGTTATACTTAGCTTGGTAATCTGAGGCAGTTAGGCATTGGAGTTATACTCGTGGATGCTGGTGGGAAATAATTTAAAGTTCACTAGGCCAAAATGTGGAGGCTATGCAATAGAGGCTGACATCTGCGCCCTTTTGGAAGATCTCGTAAATATGTCTGCCTTGAACTTGCATCATTGTCTGATTAAGGGTGACTCCAGTGTGGCGGTGGGATGGTTAGATCACGATCTCTTGGCCCTTGATGCTATTGTCATCTTTTGAGAGTTTTTCGAATTTGTTCTCTTCTTTGGAGGTGGAGATTAAATGGGTTCCTAGATCTGCCAAAAAGAATTCTGAGCATGTAATGCATCTTCAAGACAATATTCAAACTGAATAGATGTTTGTTAATAAAGTATTCATATTTTATTCTTACATTTCTTTCTTTTTTTGGATGGCGGTGGTTGTGTATGTAGTAGACACAAGTATATGATCCTCTCAACATTCAACGCTCATTGACACTAATGATTTTATACAGTATAAGCAGCAGAGAAGTTTCACAAATGCTAATTTCATTTTGCTTATTTCTTTCTTAAAAATCAGACCATAAATAAAATTCTAGAATTTTGTAGAGGACAGGTGCAAGTCAATACAGAGGAGGCACCAAAAATATAATTTAAGAATAACATGATTAAGTTTTCAAACAAGATAGGACTTATACCTTGGGTATTATACTTCCATTGTCAGCTAACACCCAGCACTGATCCTTTTCAAGAACAAAAGCCTCATCTTTTTCATCGTTAGACACCATTTCATAACCCTCAATGGCAGCCAATCTTCGAACAAGATAGCTATCTGAGTTTTCAGGGTTCTTCAAGACCACAACATCTCCAACAAAAACACGCCTGTGACAAACAAGGGTATAGTCAGGAAACAATTGGATATACACAGGCACACCCTACCAGCACCACCACCCAAACGCCCAAAAGTTTCAACAAGGCATACAAGAATCTTAAATCAGGGATGTACAGTAAAATGATCCGAATATGCCATAAAGAAACGATGCTAAATTTGTGAAACTGAAATGGAACAAGTCATGATCACTACTATCTATTCAACAAAAGGATCAAATGTACCACCACATTGAATCTACAATGATAATTGACAAACACTATTCCAAAAATTTGGTAAGCAAGACAAATTCAGCACCTGTGAACCAAAAAAAAAAATTTTTTTTTTTTTTTTGACCAGTGAACCAAACAACTATTTGAAAAACTGATGGAACGACACCAAATTTGGATAAAACTGCATTGTGTACTAAGTGTCAATATGGTATATGTGAGATATATTTTATAATTGGCTAATTTCGTTGTCAAAACAAGTCCGATCGAGTTGTAATTTTTCGGTTCAAAATTTCAAAGATTGAAGATCGGATGCGGATTTGAAGAAGTTCAAGTGTTCATGGTTTACTACAGTCCGGGATGATAAGAACACTGCTTTAGGAAGGTATATAAGTGAGTGTGAACATTTTAGGGAGTTTAGAAGGTTGAAGGAAACAGAGATTTCACTTCTGTCCATTGGGAACCGGTAGGAGGATTCTTGAAACGGTACCACACCTTGGTTCACAGCAGAGTTCTTCATTGCCCTTCTTGAACCGGTACCACAGTTGGGAACCAGTAGCCAAAGTGCGTCGAAAAGGCTTCTGACCTTCTTGAACCAGTACCAAGATTTGGGAACCGGTTCCAAAAGTCCTGCCGCATTAGAACTTTCAGTTTTTTTTTTCTAATTGTTTCTTTTTTGATCCCAACTTCTTTCCAAGTCCTATGCACAAAAAATTTCATATTTTCAGAGGGATTAGGACATTCTAAACCTATATAAACCTTGTTAGTCTTCTAGGTTTATTCATGGCTTTAAGGAACATCAATTTTATATTTTAAAAAAGCCTTTTAGAGAGAGAAAATTCAAAAAATCAAATCTGATTATTCTGAATTTATTTATGAGAGCACACGCATATATTCATGAGTGATTTAGTAGTGTTGTTCTATATCTCATCGAAATTGGAGCTATATTGAAGATTCAGAGATTCCGAATGAAAAGCAGAATTTAATTCTTCTACATCGAGTTCAGATCTTTTTTTATTATAAGTAATAATATATTAGAAAAACGTTCAAAAGGGAAACGTGTCCCTAATACAAGAAAAAAGGTCTAAGGACCAATGGAATCCAAGAGATCAAAGAAATCATCAATCGATGAACATGCACTTCCTCTTACATAAAAGAATAAAGAACGAAGAATATGAATTTTTAAAGTAGTTAAAGACGATTCTTTTCCTTCAAATGATCTGTTATTCCTCTCACGCCACAAGCACCACCAGACACAATGTGGAACAATCTTCCAATAATCCCGAGCTTGTTCTTTGACAGGACACCTTTTCCAAGCGTTAATCAATTGAGCGGAGTGCTTAGGCATTACCCAAAAAACACCGAACAAACTAAAAATAAAACTCCAACAATCAAACGTCATAGGACAATGCAAAAGAATGTGGTCCACGGATACACTATCAGCTTTACATAAACAACACCAATTAACAATAATGTTGCCTCTCTTTCTCAAATTGTCCAAAGTCAAAATCTTCCACATTGAGTTCAGATCTTGAAGAACAGAAGTAAAAGCAATCACACTTTGAAAGGGTTGGAGCATTAGAGGAGTGTTGTTTGATCTACCTGCTACTCTTCTGCAAAGATCAAGCATAAGCCTGAGGTCAAGTTGCTGTTGGACGGGACGCCGCAAAGCCAGAGAATTGTCAGCAATTGGTGTTTGGTAAAACGATAAGGTGTGAGCCAGAGTCAAAGTTCAGTGTACTTTGTTTCAAACATAGTGGATTGGTTTACTTTGGACCGCATAGTCCACGAGGTTTTTCCCATACAAGCAGTTGACGTACATTATCAACTGGGGTTTCCTCACTAAAAATCCTGGTGCAATCTCTCTAACTCTAACTTGCTTTACTTTTAAGTATTTATATTTATGATTGTGGATATTTAAATTAATCATATAATTTAATTAATCGTAAATTGAGTAAGTTGACCTAATAATCAGATCTAGGTCATTAAAGGAGTTAATCACAATTAAAATCAACTAATAGCTTCCGCACCCCGCATTAACACTGTTTTCACAGTATAAACCTTTATTGCACAACAACCACAACAATCTGAGTATGCAAAAATGAGTAAAGACCGGTTTAAAAAGAAAATGTCAGTTTGCAAATGACCACATAATGGGTTGTAAACCCGATATATAGTATAACTACTTAACCATCCCAGTATGGAAAGGGGAGAGCACATCATAGAGATAATGATAGACACTAACACGCGTTATGCTATCCATCTGGTCAGCAACAGAAATCAGATGGTACAAGCCAATCACAAGTCTATAAGACTGTTCAAACAGTATCTTGAAACTCCTATTTGGATCCACATTGAATTTATTGATTTCTGCAATGCTACTGAGTGCATATAACAGAAGATGAACACAAACGAATTTGAAATTCTGCATTGCTATTGAGTGCATATAACCGGGGATAAAGATAATCAAATTTGAACTGGATTAAAATGATAAAAGAGAACACTTCGTTTCTTATAAGCAAGTGGAGACATGTGCTTCATAGGAGGTTGGAACCTAAGCATGTGGTTTTATTACCAATATGATTCACCAGCTAAAACTAGTTGACACTTTTGCCAGAAAGAAATAAATAAATAATGAGCTTACCATCATAACCATTTTTAGAACTAAAAAGATGCTCGAATTCACAAAAGCAACTAAATTAGCAGATTTTTGAAGAAGAGTGCAAAATATATAATTCAGCAAAAAATATATAAGCATTCAATTATAAAATAACTTAGAAAATGTGAATCCTTATGAATGTATAAGCAGCTAAATGAATTAATTAAATTTCTAATAGGCTGGACTGGCAATAAGGTTCTGCATTGAGCCATAAATAGTTTGTATAAAACTCACATATAAAATATCCAAAGGAAATAAAGTTGACAATAATCTTCATAAATTTTTCATCCACGATAAAATTTTCAGTTGGTAAGGCAAAAGGTTGTCTTGTAAAAACTTAAGTAGATTGAAGGAATAAAGTAAATTATTGGAATGCGTTTATTAGGCAATCTAATTCACCTATATAGAAATCTTTGGTGGCAGTTAGGGAATTGATGCAGCAAAAGATTAATTTTCAGATTGGGAATGGCCAGTCAATTCAATTATTTAAGGACCCTTGGTGTGGAGGCCAGACTCTTACTGCCAGGTTTGGTCACAGAATGGCTCAAAGATTGCAGCTCCCCAGAAACTCTCTTCTGAGTTCTCTAATTCAAAATGGGGTCTGGAATTCACAGCTTTTCCATTCAGAGATTATCTACAGTCTGTGATTATCAAAAATTCTGAAGATAAAATGATTTGGGATGGTGGGAAATTCTCTTTCAAATATGCTTGGAGGTGTGTTAGGTCCAGTGTTATTAAAGGCCCAAGGCGCACCAAGGCACTAGAGGTCCTTTGGAGCCTAAGCGCGAGGCGCACGGCGAGGCGCGTGCTTGAGTGAAGTGAGGCGCACAATTGAAAATTTAAACTACCGTAATAACATTCATATCTCATAAGTCATATCAATATTCTAAAAATTAATATCAAATATAAAAAAGTAAATCTATCAACTATACAAGCATCCAACAACCATAAAACAAAGCACTAATTTGTTTTCTTGAAAGGCAAAGCAAAATGTGTTTTTTTGAATGGCAAAACAAAGCACAAAAAGAAATAAATATGTTAACAAAAATAAAAAAAAATGTTAACAAGCAAAAAAGAAAAGAAAAAACAGAGCCAAAAAAAAAAAGACATGAGAGAGAAGAGAACTAGACGAAGAGAGAGATGTAGACAAAGATAAGAACAGAGGAGAGATCTAGAGGAGAAGAGAGAAAAAAGAGAGAGAGAATTGACATGTCTTCGTCGTTCATCTCTACAACTAGGGCTTCGTCTTCGTCTCACAATCTCATTCTATCGCTCTTCGGTTAACACTTTGACTCTTGGGCATTCTTATTTTTTTATTCTTTTGAACAAAAGTTCCTTCTATCATATGTATGGGCTTTCTTTTTTGCTTATTAAGTTGCCAAAAGTACCCTTTTTGGCTTAAGAAATAGAACAATTATATTTTTTCAAACAAATATCAGTGAGGCACACCTAGGCGCGCCTCATAAATAGGACGAGGCGCAACCAAGGTGCGTGCCTAATAAACATCAGTGAGCCTGGGATGACAACAGGCGCTAAACTTGAGCCTCGCGCCTAGGCACACCTTTAACAACACTGGTCAGGTCTGTTGATGCAGAGGTTCAATGGTATAAATTGTACTGGGGCAAGTCAAGACCTAGGTGGTCCACTACAGCAGTGTTTGTGTTGTTGGATAGGCTGCCATCTATGTGTAATTTGCAGAGAAGGAAGGTTTATCTTGCTCCTAGATGCTCCCTATGTCAACATAGCTGTGATACCACTGATCATCTATTTGTTGCCTGTCCTTTCTCCCAGGCTTTTTGGGCTTGGATGGGTGGGGTACTTGGATAGAATTTGCACCAGTTTGAGGAGGTTGACTCTGTTTGGGATCTTTTTCTTTGGATGGATAATCTCTACAGGAATTCAAGGACTCTTCAAAGTTTGTTTGCAGCTGGGTTATGGCACATTTGGAGAGAGGAATAATAGGTTGCATGGTTCCACAAGTCTCCCACATGACACAGTGGCAAGGATTGCCCTCATGGAAGTTATTGAAGCTCAGAATGTTTCTCTCCAGGATATTATTCCATAGTCTCTAGCTTTATACTTTTCTTTTGTATTGGAAATGGGCTTTTTCGTTAGGAAAATTGTCTATTGCCTTTTTATCTTTATTTCTCTGAGGGTATGCCCTCTGTGCTCCTGTAATCATTTATATTTTTGAGCAATACAATACAACACCATTTATGAAGGAAAAAAAGAAGGAACAAAGTGGATGGGTGCACTTAAATTCAATTATTATCCACAAGTAAAAGATAAAACTTTTTCAGATAACACACCCAATTTTAGTCTGAAAAGTATTTGCTATGTGTCATGTAAGCAATTGCAACTAAATTGGGAACAACCTACATGAATCCTTATCAAAATCCAAAAATGAAAGCAAATATAAACTAAGATTGCTAGTCATCATACTGGTTAAATGAAACTATCAAACAAGTGAACTTGGATTACAAATATTTGAGTAGCGAAGTATGTAATTTTCAAAACCACAGTTCTAAACTTGAGGATCCACAACCTTTTGTAACAACTCAATTGAAACTCATCTGAGGGGCCAATGCTAATTCATTTTTATGTTGAGAGAGACTATATAATAACATAATATGTCATACAAAAAAGAATTTCAACTTTAGCATAATAATGAAGGAATAATGCATATAGTCAATACTAATAGATGTGACATTATGTCCAACAAGTGAAAACATATCCGCTTTGGGAAAAAAAGCATAGGAAAAGTTAAATAATTCTGCAAATTCTTTAACTGAAAAAATTACGTTGGATCTGCCGCGGGTAATTTCCGGACAAGAAGAGTTCCCCCCTGCCCTGCTATTGTTGGGGCCATCTCTTCTCCTTTATTCCAATGCAGGTATGTCAACTTTCCTTGAAAAAAACTTTTCCATACTGCGTCACCGACTTCTCTGTCAGTGATATGGCCTCGTTTATAGCTCTGCAACAAATTGAAGTTTCTGTCAGGACAATCTCCAGATAAACGGTTCAAACTTCTAGTACCCACCGCCCCTAACTATAAATGTTCATAAAGGAACAGCAACAAGTTAAAAGTTAAAACAGAAGAATTAACAAAAAAATGCGGCGGAAAAAAAAAAAACAAATAAAACAATCATCTTCAGATTCGAGCCTGTAATTTACATTTGAGGCTAGTATTTCCGGAATACAGTCACAATGTCTCGAGTCTAATACTTACACTTTAATTTATGATTAATTTTTACATGGAAAATGAAAATTTGCAAATTCCCCTTCCTAGGTGAGGAAGGGGGTGAAAAGGAGAAGTGATGTCTACCAAGAATAGAAAAGTAATTGATTAATAATTATATTTTCATATTTTATCAAAGAAAGTAACCATCTGTGGATTCAAGGAACAGGAGTAGTACTGAAGATAAAATGATAGCAATGGTGTGACACCAGATGGGAGTGGTAATGGAAGAAGTAGCTTCAAAGAGCTCCAGATGGAAGCAGAAATGGCAAATCAGGTGAAGTTGTGATGATGACAACAGTGGCAGTAGTGTTTTGCTAAAACTGCAAAGAAGATGACACCTACGCTGGTGGCACACCTTGATAGAGGTATTGTGGTGGTGCTGATTGTGGACATGGTCTTAGCAAGTGTGATATTGGTGGTGGAGGTGGTGGTCATGTGATACCATACTTCCATTGGTCTCGGTAAGTGTCATGTGTTGATTACAATCATGAAGGCAGCAACATGAAGAAAAGGAAATCTTCATACTTCCAAAAGCAACATCTTTTTGCTTCAACTAAAAAGTAATAATATCTCCTATTCCATTTCCAACAACTATAACAAAAAATTGTAAATTCAAAGGTCATCAGCAAACACAACAAGTACGCTATATTCTTTGGGTTCATGGGATTTTACAACAACAACCACCAAGCCTTTTTTCCAACTACTTGGGGCCCGCCACATGAATCCTATCTTTCCATTCCTCATGTTCATGGGATTCCCCTTAGAGAAAATTTTGAAGATGCAAAATGCCAAACCAAGGAAGATGAACTCTCCAAATTATGCCACTTGACATGTTACGTGGCATCCCATTTATATCATAATATTTATACATTTATTTTTGGTCAAAGAAAAAGGAAGGGAAATTAAAGGGGAAGAGAAATTTGATAGCTAGCATCAGAAGCCTAACAAATTGAATGAAATTAACGCTTTCTACGTTACTTAAATTGTACAACTTGTAAATGATACAAACAAATCCAATAAGTTATCATATCTTTATGCTTGCTTCATGATTACATAATATGTTTGAAATAGCAGTATCATGCCCTTTTTACTCTTTTCTCTAAGACACTGTTATATTGTTGATCTCTACCCAGCGCTGCCAAACCTATAACTTCCATTGTCATTCCATTCATCAGTTTTGAATAACTCTGAGAATGTCAAAATACCCGGCATCATTAATTTCAATAGGATTAAAGCTTGTGCTGAGTGGGGAGTATAAGAAGAGAGCTCATCTGAAAGGATCAAAATAAACACCAAATACAGACTTATTGACAGCAATCAATGCAAAATCATCATCTTCACCATCCTCGATTTAATCACATATGAGTGGGGTCAGCCACGTGAATTCTATTTTTCCATTCTTTTACTTTTTCTTTTTTCTTTTTCTTTTTCTTTTTTTTTCTTTTTTTTTTTTTTTGTTATAAGTAATCTCTCCTATAATATTTAATCTTTTTAAGCCATTTCTAATAATTCCATCCCATGTTTTTTTCTGGTCGCCATCTCTGTCTCCTACCTCCTATGCAAATAGTCTTCTTCCTTTTACCGGTGCCTCTATAGGTCTTCTTTATATATCCATACTATCTAAGTCTACTTTGTCTTATTTTATCACTAATAGGTGTCACTCCTAATTTCTTCCTCTTCTAGTCACTCATGCCATCCATCTTAACATCCTCATTTATGTCGCATAGTCATTGTTCATGTCTCTTTTTTAAAGCTCAATACTTTGCACCAAATAAAATAGTTGGCCTAATAGTTGTTCTACAAAAGTTCCCTTTTAATTTTTTTCTTATTCTTTTATCACAGAAAACAACAACTAGTTTGTCACCATTTTGTTCAACATGCTTTAATTCTACTAATTATATATTACCATCTATCCCACCATCCTTTTGTATTATTGATCCTAAATACCAAAAATGATTATTGTGGATAATCCTTAGCTTTGAAGTGTGATCATCATATTATCAGCACCCAACTATTTGCTAAATTTACATTCCATATATTCAGTTTTAATCCTACTAATTTATAAACCTTTTGATTCTAGTGCATTTCTCCACATATCTCATTCTATTTTTTTTTTTTTTTTTATAAGTAAAAAGTTTCAAGAGGGGAGCGCTCCAGAAGAAATACACAAAAAAAGGCCAAAGGCGACAACTGAAGCTTTAAGCTATCCACAAAATCCAAAAGATCACCCAAATATTTACAATTCCGCCCATTAGCCCAAAAGAATAAAGTATGCAATATAGTGTATTTGAGAGACCAAATAGGAGTCTCTTTGCCCTCAAAAAGTCTCCTATTTCTCTCAAGCCACAAACCCCACCAAAGACAAAGTGGAGTGGCCCTCCAAACAACCTTGGCTCGGCTCTCCACAAGACATCCCTTCCAAGCCTCAATCAAATCCACCGTGGTTCTAGGAAACACCCAAACCATGCCAAAAGCAACCAAAAACATAGACCAAATATCCCTTGCCATCGGGCAGTGAACAAGGAGATGATTCACTGATTTCTCCGACTTCTTGCATATACAACACCAATTAACCACGATCTGTCGTCTACTTCTAAGATTGCCAAGGGTGAGAATGCTACCATGGGCTGCACGCCAAGCAAAGAAGGCCACCTTCAAGGGAGCTATCGACCTCCAAATCGCTTTCCAAGGGAAAGAATGACCTGGGATCACCGACAACAAAAGATAGAACGCCCTAACCTTAAACAGACCCCTTGGTGAGCCCACCCACACCATCTCATCCATCCCTGCACCCTCCACCTCCTGCCTGTACAGCAGGGCCAAAAACTCAACAACCTCCGCAAGCTCCCAATCATGGAACTCTCTACGAAACTGCATGTCCCAGGTCAACCTTCCATTATCAAGATGATAACAGTTAGCAACCATGGCATGTTGGTACGAAGAGATCCTGAAAAGCCTAGGAAACCTACAAGCAAGAACACAATCCCCACACATATCTCATTCTATTACTAAATTTTCTTTAAAAATATCCAATAGCATTATGTATGTCGTCGGCAAACAAAATTTACAATGGAATATTTTCTTGTATGTCTTTTGTGATTTCATCTACAATCATTGTGAATATATATGCACTTAGTGCTTACCCTTGGTGCAATTCCACATTTATAGAAAAATCACTAGTCTATCGAAATGTAGTGTGCACTCTAGTTTCTGTGAATAATATTTATCATTTTTATAGAAATTTGTTTTCTTTGTAAAGTCCACCAAATTATATCAGTTGGCACCCTGTCATATGTTTTTTCTAAATCTATGAAAACTAGATATAGATCTTTTTGCTTATTTATACACTCCTCAACTAATTGATTCCTTCCTTAATCTTTGTTCTATCACCCTTTGTCGTAGTTTCATAGTATGAATCGTTAATTTAATTTAGTTTTCGATAATTGTTACAATTTTGCATATCTCCTTTGTTTTTTTTTATATTGGTACTATTATGCTTCTCCTCCACTCATTTGCCATCGCTCGTTCTTTTAGAATTTTTTTGAATGAATTTGTTGATCATTCAATTCCTATCTTTCCTCTTCATGCCTCTATAGTCTATAGGTATGTCATCTGGGTCAGCCTTATTCTTTCCCATCTTTTTAAGTATGTCCTCTACTTACTTATTGTTGATTTTATTTACCTTTCTTACATTAACAATTTCCGCTTCTTCTCTATGGTATTCCTTATTTATAAAGTATTGAAAGCAAATTTTCATCTAGCTAATATGTCATTATCTTTAACTAATATTTATGGTCTGTATTTTAAGACATCTAATTTGATCTATACCTCTTTGTATGTGGAGGTAAAGCTACGTAATGGCGGGAACCTCTTGCACTGGGCTAGCCCTGTAATGGTAGGAATTTTTACAGGAATTTTTACACTGGGCTAGCCCTTTTTTAATCTCTAATTGACCCTTCCCTATTCTTTGTCAATTTATAAGTAGCCTTTCATCCTCTTTTGTGTCTAGTTTTGCATATAAATCATTTAGTACTTTTTTTTAGCTTTACTTACTCTCTTGTTAGCTTCATTTCTCAATCTCTCATAATTTTTAAAATCCTCCTATTGCTTACTCTTTTGCCATTCTTTGAAACTCTCTCTCTTTTGTAGTATTTATTGTATTTCATCACTCCACCACCAAGTTTCCTTTTCAATTTTTCCTTTTTGTTTCCCCCCCAAATTTTCCATTGTCATACTCCTAATATAAGTTGTCATTTATAACGACAAGTTATTTATATTATCACTCCAATTTCGTTGCTTCACTTTTAACATTCGTTCTCTAAATGTTACCACTTTGCTACCCTTTAGTTTTTTTCATTTTATGTTCTGATGGCTTATTCTCATTTTTATATTTAGATCCTCCTGTTAATAAATATATGGTTAATATTCAATGTAGTTTGTGAGCTCTCCAGGGAACACCATACAATCCTTGCAAGTGACTAATTCTCTTCATTTGTGTAAACAATAGTCAATTTGTGTTTTATTCCTTCCACTTTTAAATGTTCTTCTCATTTTAGAGAGGGAAAAAAATTGGTATAGCTAAATCATATGCTTTTGCAAATTCTAGAGGTCATTCACCTATCTCATTTTGCTTTCCCAAACCATATCCTCCGTAAACTCATGTATATCCTCTTTGATCAACACCTACATGCCCATTAAAGTCACCTTGTATGAGACTATGAGTATGTTTTCATGATTAGATATGAATTGCATCATTTCATCCATCAAATTCCAAAATAATCCCACAATTTCATTATACCTACATGTTATTGTTCTTAAATTTCATACTCCTATCTTAATTCATATTTTGATACTTTTTATTTGAAATGATAATTCATCAAAATAGAAGTCTCATGCTGCTGTTTTCTTTTCTTTACTTCGGTACAACGAGAGCTCTCATGTTTCACTAACAAATAATTAAGTAAATAATGCACCAATAATACACAGTAAACCATCACTATACTGTAGCTTTTATTGTTGCACCAATAAAGTAAATAATGCAACAATAATCACAAATGCAGTGGTATTAGTGGACTCCTCACACGTCCATATACATTGATACAGTGAAACCCTAACAACCTATGACTAGATAAATCTAGACACCCAATAAAATTCACACACACAAAGTGCAAAACACGAAAAGATACATTCTTTCAGTTCATTAATCAAAAAAATAACAATAAGAATTGTTTTTCATACAAATCCACAAAGACCCAGTAAATCATTTGAACATATATCCATGAATGCACAAAACCCATTCACAACATCTGCGAAAAAACTGACCCTGACAATAAACTAATTGAAATAACTGCTAATCATGTGAGGAATGAAAAAACATGGAGCAATTTGGGAATACCATAATGAATCGCAGATAAATTATACACATAGATGTGTGTGTGTCTGTGTGTGTGTGCGCGTGTGTGTAGAGAGAGAGAGAGGGATTTGGGGAACCTTCCAGCTGTGAGAGACGGAGTACTCGAGTTTGTGGGCTATGTATCGGCACCATGTGGAGAGAGAGACCATCGCGAGTTATGAATCTATCACCGGCAGTGTGTATAGAGAGAGCTTCTTTTTCAGCTACCCTTTTTTTTCTTAAACCCTTTAAATTCTTTTGTGTTTTCTGATCAGACCACACTTCTTAGTCATTTATGGGCTACCACCCCGTTGGCGTAACCGGTCCAAGCACCAACACAAATTACACATTAGTGAAGTACTATTGATTTTTCTTTTATTTTCTTTTGTTTATGTTTTTTTTTGCTTTTTTTTTTTTTAGGGAATTAAAAAATCAAATTTTATCATTCAAATTGAGTAATTTGAAGTTTATTTTTTTAACCAATCCGAACTATGGTATTACAGTAAAATATTAACTAAATTTTATTTATGAAGTCGAACCAATTTAAATTGATCGTACTTGGTTATGTATCCGATTTCAATTAATTAGTAGGATTGGAATGTTCTTGATTTATTTCTTAAATTTGCTATGTGGATCGTGATAAATCTAAAATTGACTTTACAATTATTTTTATGTATATATATTAGGTTGTATATTTAGTATTTTGTGTGATGTGCTACATCATTAAAGTATACACACTGTAAAGGCTGGTTTGATAGTACAAATGGTAAAAGTAATATATGATTATATGTATATACGAAAATACAGACGAATTTTGTGGATTTAATCAAAAAATATAGCAAGACAACTACCCAAACAAATATCCAATTGCAATGAGGTAAAAGAGAAGTTTGAAATTAAAACTTAAAAGAGGTTTTAGCCATTCCCAAGTATGGGGAGTCCTTATCTTAGAGTACATAGTAATGAATTTGCCTCAACCTACTTATGTATGGATACATATTACAAGTGGGACTTGTCTCACGTCGAATTTGGATGAGATTAAAGTGTGTATAAATGGGTGGGTATGCACACTGCTTAACAATTTGAGCTTTTTGATAAATGGATAAGCGTCCACCTAGCTGGTTTCAAAGTCAAAATTAGTCCTTAATTCGGTGTCACGCCAAGCACCCAGTCCGGAGGCCATTCAGGTCTGGTCCCCGAGTAGGCAGAGTGGCCAGACCGGAAGTAGGGCATTGCACAGGTTCAGGTGGGGGAGAATGTTACAAGTGGGAATTGTCCCACATCGAATTTAAACAAAGGTTGAAGTGCGTATAACTGGATGGGTATGCACCCAACAGTTTGAGAATTTGAATAAATGAGTAAGCGTCCACCCGTTACAATATACTTGTTAGTGTGAATGAGAGATTAAAGGGACCAGAAATATAAAATAAGAAATTGCAACGCCAATGAATAATGTCACTCTTCTTTAATCTTGTGTTATGTTTGAAAGTACAGAAGTTGCGCACTTTTTAAACTTATTTTCGTTTAATATTATAAACCACTTTACTTTTATTCCATCCTTTTTAGTCGGAGTTCAAAATCATTCAACTCAATTTATGCCCAGCATTCTCTTTCGAGATGTGATAAAGTTCCACTAGACTACAAGGTCTTTGATAATGGCATGTGGATGTGTGGGCGAATGCAGAGTGATCACTCGCTTCAGCTGTCCTTTCAACAATCCTTTTCCATCCCAGCATTCCTGTTCCTATCCGGTTGAGTCGGAGTAGGTAGCCACGTCTCTTCGATCGATAAGTCCCCTCAATCAAACAGAGCTTATACGGCCTCATATAAAGGCATGTATTTCATGACAATAGGGATGCAACTCTGGCGGATTGGGCGGGTTTGAAGTATAACTTGAGCCCAACCCACCATATGAAATGCTAAAACCAAGCCCAACTCTAATCATATCTTCAACCTTAACTACTCAACTCAAACCCAACCCATCATTCTATTTTTAAATTCGGGCTTGCAACTCTAGCTTAGATTCCGAGTAAAAACTTCGGGTTAATTCGGGTTACTCATATGACTAATCATTACATCAAAAATTTAACATGATTTTGAATTAGTTTTAGATTAAATTACTCTTAAAACAAGAAAAAGTTTAAAGACTTTTGTAGATATTTAATAAATTGCAAACAAATTTTTATAAAATTAATTCTCCTAGATTTAACAAAAAAGTAAGCATAATTTAAATATCATATATAATGTATTTAAAAGTAAAAAAAATATATATAAATAATATTATAATTCGGGCTCGAGTTGCTAACACTTTAACTCAAACCCAACTCTAATTAAATTTGGATTGAGATTTTTCAACCCAAGTTCAACCTTAATTATAAAAATGATTATCCAGACCCTTGAAAAATCGGGCTAGGCTTGGGTTGGGTTCGGGTTACCTGACCCAAGTTGTACCCCTACATGACAATGAACGAAAAAAAAAAAAAACCCAATTTATGCCTCCGAAATCTATTAAAATTATACAGAACTCCCGTCGTTTTGAAAATTATACTACTTGTGAGTCGGATTTGTCTTGTAGCACATTTTCAAAGTCAACAATTGTTAAAAAATGATTTTTGCAACATTAGCAAATTGAAATATCTTTGCAAAAAAAAACAAAAAAAAAAAATTTGAAATATCAAACCAAATTCCAAAATAAATATCAAATATATTAATTTTTGTTAAGCAATGCATGGAAAAAAAGAAAAAAAGAAAAAACACCCATATCCTATTGGTATGTCATGTTAAGATATATCAAAACTTATAATCCTTTTTAGCATGCATGGTTAACCAAAAAAACAAAACGTGTTTTATGTGCATTTATTGCATACATGAACTTATTTTATTTTACTTTTTAAATTATGTTTTTCATACAATTTTCAAACTCAAAAGTGTAATAGTCATATTTTTTTAGCTAGATTATATAATACACGTTTTGAACGCTTTACAAGTTCTAAAATATAAAAAATACTTAGATAAATTTTGTAAAAAGTTTACATTACCTTTAATCATTCTATTAAAAAATATATATATGATTTTATTTAAGAGCACAGTTATACTAACATAACAAATGATTAGTCAAACAATTTCATTTGAACGCTAGTCTTGTCGGGCTCTCGAATGGTTTGCAAACTCCGAATATGTACAACCATTCACAATCACATAAATCATTTAAGCTTAAGTTATTATTTTATTTTATTTATTTTTCCCTCTTTTACGTCTTGTGAGAATTAAACTCATAAAATCCAAGTTTATGGTTTGCCTCAAAAGAACCCTTATATACTAGGCCACCCGCATAAAACCCTTATCTACTAAGCCACCCGTGTAGAATTAGTTAATAGTTTATTGTTTCATGAGTCACAACTAGTATACTGTAGTGTTAATATTATATAGTATTATATACTCCTTTCGTCTCAAAATAAGTATCAATTTTTGAGAGTAGAATTTTAAATAGTACCTAAAATGGACACTTATTTTGTGATGGAGGGAGTATCTTAAATTTTATCATAATTTATTCAACTATATAATCATGCATACTTTGTACAAACTACATATTAATAATTGAACAAAAATAGAATATCTTTTTTCTAACCAAAAGAAAAAATTCCTAACACAACTAAATATGTAACTCTATAGACTTTTATCATACATTTACAAAAATAAATTCATTTCATCACCGTTAGGCATGGTACCATTAATTGAAATTTTATTTATTTATACTACAATCCCAAATTTGTCAAAATTCTAAAAGTACCACACTAAAATTTTATCAAAAAATATAATTGAAAATGACATTTACAAATAATTAATTAATTAATTAAAATTGAAGTATGAGCAATTTTAGATGAAAATATTTATTATTATTGTATTTTTTTTGGTTTATTATAGTAGACTAAATTTATTTTACTTTATTATTGTTCATGGTCGTCTCCTCTTAAATCATTTTCTAACTTAGACATTGTTTACTATCTTAATGTGATTTTAATTATGGGATATGAAAATAAGAAAAATAAAAAATAAAAAAATTTGTAACATCTATAAACAAATAATATATAGATCATACGGTCTACCACATTTTTTTATTAGTATAAAATTATATTTGTATATACATATGTAGTTATATATATAGAGAGAGAGTCATGATCTCTTGTTGAACGGTGAGCAATATAATTTATCCACACTTTCAATAGTGGTCGCTAGATTAAATCTAACGGTCATGTTCCATATAACACCCCGAATCCCAATATCCACTGCATTAAACAAGTAGATCCAAACCCTACTTGAGAATCCAAACAACAAATGCGGAAGTTAAGGTCAAAATAGTCATAATATGGAAGCCAAGGGTAAAGTGGTTATTTCATGACAATATGATAGACGGGGTGTACACTATTGAAAAGCTAGCTTAAAATCCTTCAATTTAGGCTCAAGAATAACCTAGGGTTTATAATGAAAGAGATACGACCATCTGAAGAAAGAGGGATAATTATACAAGTGTTGTGATAAAAGCTTGATCATTTAAAAAAAAATGCTCGAGCGCTAAGAAAAATGTTCAAGCATAAATGGAGTTACGGGAAATGAAATTATCGGAAAAAGTAAAGCTCGAGCTCACAAAACCAATGCTTAAGCTCTTGAGAAAAATGCTCGAGCTTTAAACTCCATAAAATGCAAAACACACATGAATACCCATAAAATGCAAACACATACTTGAAAATGATGCATCAAGTCATGGGCACCTCCTTGGTACCCAATAAGGTCATAAACAAATCCAAATTTGTTACCCAAGAATTGACTCTAGAGGGGGGGTGAATAGAGTCAATGGCCAATTTTCACAAATTATAGAAATACAATTTCTAAACAACAATATAACTAATTATGCAATAATCAAGATATGAAAGTAATCAATTTAGCACAATTGTAAAGAGATAAGGGAAAAGAAATTGCAAATAATAACACGGCGATTTTTGCGAGGTTCGGAAACTCCTACTCCTCAGCTCAAGATCCCTCTTGAGACTTCCCAAATTCCTTAGAGTTTCTCCTTAATGGTGGAGAGCAAACCTTCAATTGAAGCAAGACCTTGCTTCTATTTCTTGCTAAGAGAAGACCCTTCTCATAGGCTTCCTTTTGGGTCACACCAACACTTTACAATAACTTGTAATAAAAATAAAGTGTACAATTAATCTTTTAAAGATAGTAGTACAAATTTTGTTTGGCTCACAACTAGAGTATTGATGAATAGAAAT